CTCCTTCTTCTCTGCCCCTCCCCACACTTTATGAGTATGATGCTTGGGACCTTGCACCTGCTTGGCAAGTATTCTATCACTGCCCAGATTTTCATTTTTCATATATATATATGTGTGTGTGTGTGTGTGTGTGTGTGTGTGTGTTTTCATGACAAGGTTTCTATGTAGCTTTGGCTAGCTGTCCTGGAACTTACTCTGTAGATCAGGCTGACCTGGAACCCATAGAGATCTGTAGGCCTCTGCCTCCTGAGTGTTGGGATTAAAGGTGTGTGCCACCATACCTGCCTTGACAGATAAATAAATATCTTTAAAAAAAAAGAATTATAGGCTGGGCAGTAGTGGTGCACACCTTTAATCCCAGCACTCAGGAGGCAGAGGCAGGAGGATCTCTTAGTCAAAGGCCAACCTGGTCTACAGAGTGAGTTCCAGGACAGCTAGAACTACACAGAGAAACCCTGCCTTGAAAAACACACAAAAAGATACCTTGAAAAACATACAAAGAAGATATTTAATTATGAATTTTATGTATAGGAATGCTCTTTCTGCATGTAGACAGAAGAGGGGCTCTGATCCCATTATAGACGGTTGTGAGCCACCTTGTAGATGTTGGGAATTGAACTCAGGACCTCTGCCAGTATTCTTAACTGCTGAACCATCTCTCCTCATCAATCTTTTTAAAAAATATGTTTATTTATTTAGCATGCGTGTATGCAGCCACACATGTGCATGTCATGGTGCATGTGTGAAAGTCAGAGGACTACTTTTAAGAATCAGTTCTTTAGTACAATGTGGGTCCTGGGGACTAAGCTCGGGTCATCAGGCTTGGCAGCAGGTGCCCTTACCCACGGAGCCATCTCACCAGCGCCCCCATCTGTCTTCTAGTAAGCTCTCCCAGGCAGTTCTAGCCTACCCTAAAGTTTTAGGAACATTCTCACGTCTACTGGTCACCATGATTTTTCCTTCAGAATATTTTTTATCTAGTGTCTTACTGTTTATTTGTGATTTATTTACTGTTTTTCAGAAGTCTGCAAGCTTAATCATGGGACTTTGCAATTTTTTCCCCACCAATATGTCCCTAGTATATTGCACAGTGCATAGTTACCTGATAAATATTTTTGGAGGAATAAACAGATGTGCGAATGAATCGTAGAAATGAATGGACAAACTAGGAGAGGAAAAGGGCTGCTTAGAAAGGGTCATGACTCCTGCCGTTTCGCTCCTTTGGGGACTTCTTCCTGGTCAGAATGGCAGTGGTGACCTCAGCACTGTAGGTGCCTAAGGACGGGACCTACGGTGGTCAATGAGTGTGCCATCTGTAACCTGGGCAGCACACCCCACCCCTGCCCAGCTGACTCTGTAAGGGAACAGAGAGTGCTAGTCTCATCAGAGGAAACACCAGGCCTGAAAAGTCTGCTCTGGGATCCAGCCAGGGGAGCTGTGCTGGCTAAGAAAGAGGAGAAGAGTTGGAGATATTTATCTGGTCCTGCCTATGGAGAGCCCCGTCCCACAGGGCCTTGCTCCCCTTCTGGCATTCAAGACTGTGTCTTGCTTGCAGGCTCTTTGCCGCCTCACATCTGTCATGGTAGTTGGCGCTCTTGGCCCATCATGCTTTATGCTTTTCCCTTCTGACTCTTGTGGGGGATGATGCAACCCCCACCAGCTGTTCTTGTTGCTGTGTCTCTAAGTTTGACTACGCTGCACATTCCCGAAAAGTGAAAACCGAGCTGCTCCTCTCCAGGTCCCCTGCAGGACCTAACCAGGATAGATCCAGAATTGGTGTGCAACGACGTAGTGTCAGGCAGCCATACACAACAATTCTCTCCTAAGGACCCAGCTCTGGGGTACACTGCCTGACTCTCAGCCCTCCTGTTGGTCCCCCCTCCCTTTTTCTGAACATATGATGCCATGTCTTGGCCCCATCCCTCATACCCTGAAGCCTGGGCACTGACTCTCCATAGTCCAGTATCGAGCTGGTGACATAACTGATTGGCTGGTGGAAGATCTCCTCCATCCTGCCCCACTCCCTATGGTACATACAGGTGGGCCAGAAGAAAGACAGAGTTCAAGGGATAGAGGGGCTAACTCAGTACCTGTCTTGTGAATTCCCCGGGGCTAACATGTATCTATTCCTTACACAACAGTTCCATCTCCCACTGCTGACCTTTCTATAGCCCTGAAGCCTGAAAATATTGGCTGGAGGAGAGACAAGGGTAAATGAAAGATGATCCCCTTTCCTAAGACTCCCATCTCTTGAATTCTCCTAACCTTTGGCTCTCACCAGCCCATATCCTAATTGGTCCTGGTTGTTCTCAGTACTCCCCATCAAAGCCATTCTTGGGCCCCACACCCACCTTCAATGGGGGAGTTGATGAGGATGACTCGGCCCATGGGTGATGAGGCTCGGATTCCGCGGGGGGGCCCATTCAGCAGGCGCTGTTGCTTCCTCAGCAAGTATCGTGTTGCTGTGGCGCCCGAGTCGCTGCCCAGATGGCCTCGGGAGGAGAGGGAGCTCAGAGAGCCAGAGCTGAGTTCTCCTAGACCCGATGGGTCAAAGCCCACTGTGAAACCACGTGCCATGGTGGTGAGGCTGGGGCATTGTCCTACAGATCCATATGGAGTCTACTGGTCCTCCAAAGGTTGGCGGTTGGCGTTCCAAGCTGCATGAAAGTCCTCTGTAGGGCTGGAGTCTCAGTGAGGAGGATGGGAGCTCTCGCTCTCAATGTTTCTTAGAAGTGTGGCTTTCAAATCTGTGTAGGGAGAACGGGGTTTGGGGGGAGAGGCATGAGTGCTGTGGCCTTAGTACTCCACACTCCCCCGGGCCTTGAACATCCTGCCTTCTCAATACGTGGACCCCTCACCTCTCCCACCCTGGAGCCAGAGGAAATCTGCCCAGTTCAGAACCGTCTTGGATTATGGAAGCTTTATCTACAAGGCCACTGGGAAGCGCTCTTTCAGCCCTCCTTGCTGCTCTCAACTGAATCATACACCTCATCTCCAGTCCTCAGTTGAAGTTCAGAGAGTAGAGATGGGATTACAGCAGGCTCTTGAACTTTAAAGAGGGTGAGGAAAATGGCTCTCGGGACAGTTTATTGCAGCATCTTTCCTGCTGCAATATGGGTAGGGGCTGGACTTCAGGACCTGGGACAGCTGCAGCCGAGCTTGCCCCCACCGCCACCCCCAAGTGACTGCGCAAGGCTCCATGCTGCATTTGTGGATCTAAAGCCACTGCAAGACCCTATCCCATGACTGGGCAATCAGCTAGTACAAAACCAGGGGACGCGTCCTCCAGAGCATCTCTGTGACCCCCCTCCCTCCTCGTGGGCCCTCCGGCCCGCTACCTCTGGGAATCGCCCCCCTCACCTCGTCGCTTGCACAGACGCCTGCTTCACCCGCAGGCGGTCTTGAGACACTGAACCAGCTAAGGACCCGGCCCACGCTCGGTGCGGCTGCGGGAATAAGGTTGGTCTGCACGGTCCTGGAATTTCATTGGCTGTTGAGAACGCCAGTCATTCTTTTCTGGCACCTTTGGGAGCCGGTCCGGATTACAGCTCGTCACCTGCCTGTTACCTCTGGGCTCTGTCTGCTCCAATTCTGAACCCTACCGGTCGCTGGGACCTAGGACAGTTGTGGAGCCCCGCACTGGCGACTAGAATCACATCTTCTCCAGGCTACCCTACCTCCTGGGCTCGGGAAATTGCCACCCCTTTCGTAGTCACTCCTGAGGTCTCTGTGGGAAAATGTCATAAGTAAAAGCGCCGAACGTGAACCTGAGAGGAAGCAGGAACGAAAGCTGGAGCCTGGATGTGCGGCGGCCGTGCTCTGGGTGCTAATGGGTGAGAGGGGTGTGTGTGTGTGTGTGTGTGTGTGTGTGTGTGTGTGTTGCAATCTGCACATCCTGAGTCGAAAAAGTGTTTCTCTGGGTACTACTGGGTACTCTGTCCTGGAAAGTCCGCAAGACAGAGCAGCTGATCCCAGCACTCTAGCAGGAGAGGAGTCTTTCTGATGTGCCAGCTTGGATACAGGCAGAGATCACGGGAGATTGACCGTGCACATCCCAGGGGGTGGAGCTTCAGTCTGTGCATGGATAAGTGTTGGGGGCATAAGGAACTGCTGGCGCGATGGAGCTGGAGGTTGGGTGGCAAAGGGGGCTGGGGGGACACAGAAGAAGTACAGGCACCACAGGAATATGACTGGGAAGAGATGCGAATGGCGAGATTCTGAGAGAGGAACCCACAGGTCCTGGGGTAGCCGACCAGGGGGTCAAACAGGCAGAGAGGCCCATTGCCAAGGCAGCCACCAAGTAAACAAGCAGTAACCCGAGTCCCTCCAGGCGGCGCACCATCAGAGTCCCGCCCTCCACGCCGTTCACCCGCGCCCAGTGCACCTAGACTGGGTGCTGCCGAGTCGGATGCCTCCGGAGGCAAGCCAAGGGACTGCAAGCGAAGGAGGCTAGTGGGGCGACTCCTCCCCTCCTCTCTCTTGTCGGGAAGGCGGCCAGAAATGCTTCCAAAGACTGGGTCGGGTCTGGTCTCAACGGCCTGGTCTGGGCTAGTCGCTTTATATGACATCCACTGCCCCGGAATTCTGCCAAGCCGGGGGCGGGTTGGGCGAACGAGCCTAGGAAGCCCCCGCCCTTCCCTGCTGCTCAGCGTCACGCGTGACGTCCCGGTGATGGATGGGAGGAAAGCAGAGAGCTGTGAGGAAGGCGGGTCTGAGAGCTGCTAGAGGCTGAAAACCCCGGAAAGCGTGAGTGCTTTGCAGCCTTGGGAATCTTCAGAGCGTAGGGTTGAGGGCCTGGGGTCGGAGGAAGAGGCTTGTCTTGAAAGGCGCTTTCTGTCTTGTGGGGATTCCATAGAATCTGGAGGGTACAAGGAGGAGGTGGCTGTGTGAGGCTGTGTGTCTATTTTCAATGCATCTGATAGATATTGCTGAGTCTCTCTCTCTCTCTCTCTCTCTCTCTCTCTCTCTCTCTCTCTCTCTGTAACGGTATTCTGGCTGATTGGCTAGTGTATACAGTGTGGGTCTAACCTGTTTGTGTGCCGGGCAGGGCGTGCATGTCTTTGTGTGTGGGTATGTGAGAGTCGGGTAGGGGCGTTGTCTACTGTGAGGGAGGAAGTGGAGTTGGAGGGGATTAGTCATTCTGCAGGATTTTTGCCTAGCACAGGCAGATGGCTGCTCCTGGCAGTTTGTGTGTGTGTGTGTGTTATGTGGAGGGGCATTCACTTAATCTTGCCCTTTCCTGAGGTAGATGGCTCAGAGAGAGTTGTATGGGTTAGGACAAGGGAGAGGCTGGGTTGTTGTGCAAGAGTTGAAGCAAATGGGTTTGAAGGGGATGTGTGCATGCCCTCCTACTCACAAATGGCTGCCATTGCTCTGTGTGAGATCTGGTACTGATCAGCCCTCAGGTGGCTAATGATCCTGGTCTCCTCCAATCAGGGGCTTGAGTGTGGGATGGCTTTTGTCCACTTTCCAAACAGCCTTGGAAGTGTTTATCTAGGCTTTAGAGCAGCTGGGACCTGAAGCTGAAATGGGCTAGGGTGTGTTATCCATGTTCTACGCTCCTACAACAGGAGCTCAAGATAGCTGCCCCGGATTAGTTGCTGCTCTTGAAACAACCACACACGTGTAAATCCTCACCATGTAAGATCTGCACCAGGCCAGAGCATGAGGAAAGCTATATGTATTCTTGGTTCCGATCCTTTCCCCACCTCCTCAGTAGCTATAGGTCCCTGGCTAAAACACTACCTAGGAAGCAACTCCTCCCCTCCCCTTGCTTTTTCTATCTGGAGTCACCTTGAGCCCTTACAAGGATTGGTCATAGTTTCTGGAACCAGGGCAGAGCTTTCTCCAAGTGAAGTCCTTGACTTGATCTTTGTTCTTGCTGCCCTGCAGAAGATGGGGGACTTGCCCTTAGATATCAACATCCAGGAACCTCGATGGGATCAAAGCACGTTCCTAGGCAGAGCCCGGCACTTCTTCACGGTTACTGACCCTCGAAATCTGCTGTTGTCCGGGGACCAGCTGGAAGCTTCCCGCAACATCGTGCAGAATTACAGGTAAGCCTGCCTCAAACCAGATGGCAGTGACACAGCACTTTAGCTCGGAGGACTTTAGGACATTTGGGTTGAGGAGACGGCACTGGATTTATGGGTAGGCAGCAGCTCTGCAGTTCACAGATGCTCTTCAGTGACCATTCCCAGTGCTGTTCACTCTGCAAGGACAAGGGCCCAAAGGAGAGTCCCGAGCAAATAGACAGGCAGTAATCCTCTTCTCTTCAGGAGGTTTAACTCTTGGGGTGCCCCCCAGTCCTTTCAGACCCTTTGAAAACCACCATCTCCGTGGCCCTGGAGAAAATGCGGGACCACAAAAAAATGTAGAAAGAGCAAAGTGCGCATGTGAGAGACTTTGACTTCCCCCATGAACAGGGAGCTCGTTTACTCTGGGATTGAGTGCCAAAGTTCCTGGTCCATCGCCCGGAGTTCCCCGAGGCAAGCAGCAGAGACAGGAAGGGCAGGTCTGACCCCTACAACAACCTGCTGGTTCCTTGCCAATTTCTGCAGGGCTGGTGTGGCAACCCCAGGGCTCACTGAGGACCAGCTGTGGAGAGCCAAGTATGTGTACGACTCTGCCTTCCATCCAGACACAGGGGAGAAGGTGGTCTTGATTGGCCGCATGTCAGCCCAGGTGCCCATGAACATGACCATTACTGGCTGCATGCTCACCTTCTACAGGTAAGGCTTATCCATGTCCCCTTCCTGCAGGTTGGGGCCCAGAACACGGCTGGGTGACTAGAAGTCTCCTTTCTGCTCCTTTTTGGGTAAAGAAATGTGTGTGTGGGGGGGGTATGTAAGAATTCTTCCCATTTCTCAGAACCCAGCTTCCGTTTGTGTAAGGTGTACATGTGAGGGTGACAAGAGCAAGTTTTGGGACCACCACTTAAGTCCCTCTTGAGGAGTTAAGGGACGCTGAGGGTTTCAGTATTGAGGGTTTGGGGGCTGGAGAGATGGCTCAGTGGCTAAGAGCATTGGCTGTTTGTCCAGAGGACCTCGGTTCAATTCCCAGCACCCACATGGCAGCTCACAACTGTCTGTAACTCAAGTTCCAGTGGGTCTGACTTCCTCACACACACATGCACATAAAAATAAAAAAAAATTCAGTATTGGGGGTTCAAGAATGGGAGACTACTGTGGAGGAACAGATATAAGTAGTCTATCTTTGCACCCTCAGGAAGACTCCGACTGTGGTGTTTTGGCAGTGGGTGAACCAGTCCTTCAACGCTATTGTGAATTACTCCAATCGCAGTGGGGATGCTCCCATCACTGTACGGTGAGATCCCCCTCCCCAGCTGTTCCTGGTCCTTGTGGATCCCTGTGCCAGGGGCTCAGCCCTCCTTTCTGCTACTGTTCGACTACCACCTGAGGGCACTCAGTCCTTTTGTATCTCTTTTGGGGGACCCACTCCCCTCTTAAAGAAGGAGGAGGACTTTCACCCAAGTTTCCGCTGGAGCAGGGGGTGGGGATTTCAATGAGGCTACTCTCTGACACCCCTGCATTGGAAATGTCTAGTGTCCCTTAAAGAAAATGCATACTGGACTCTTATCTCTCCTGTGAACTGGCCTTTTCCTCTACAGGCAGCTGGGGACAGCCTACGTGAGTGCCACCACTGGGGCTGTGGCCACTGCTCTGGGACTCAAATCTCTCACCAAGGTAAAGCCTCGCTACCACTACTGGCCTCTCATTAACCCTTTACCCATTTCCTTCTCCCCTCCCCACCCCGTGGTCCACAGAGCCACTGAACACCGCCTTTCCTCCCCCAGCACCTGCCCCCACTAGTCGGCCGATTCGTCCCCTTCGCAGCTGTGGCCGCTGCCAACTGCATCAACATCCCCCTGATGAGGCAGAGGTGAGTGGCCCTGGCTTCCGGAACAGAGATGTCCAGATACCCTTGACTTCTGCAGATCAGCCAGGTACAGGGAGAGTCCTCTCCACCACTGATGGAGCTGCTGGACCCTGGCTTATACTGACCCTGTGTTCAAGAACCACCAGGTCCCACTATGTGAGAACTTTCCCCGAGGTGTGGCAAGACTGAAGGGTGCAGGCAGACCCACAGTTTCACAGAGGACTCCTCACTGGGAACTTGCTGAGAGGGGCATGGTGCTGGCAGTCTCATGACTTGAGTGAGAAGAGTGGTGTAAATATGATAGTCAGGACGACTTACAACAGGCAAAAATGTACGCTGATGTGTCTTATGCTACCATCAAGAAAATCACATTTCTGGCAGTGGTGGCACTAGGGTCCTGGTCATAAAGCCCGATAAGTTTTTTTTTTAATTTATTTTTTTGAGATAGGGTTTCTCTGTGCAGTTCTAGAACTCCCAATGTAGACCAGGCTAGCCTTGAACTCACAGAGATCTCTTGCCCTTGCCTTCCGAGTGTTGGGATTAAATGATCAGTTCAAACAACATTCTTAATAGTTTTGTTTGTTTATACTAATCTGGAATGCTGTGTGGAGAAAATCCACCTGAGCTACTCAGGGTCATTCATGGTAGTTACGACTCAAGATAACTGTCCCTTCCTGCTGGATTCCAATACTCTGGAAATTACCTGATACCCCAGGCTCCTCCCCAAACTCATTTTCTTCAACCCAGGCTGAATGACCAACATTCCCCTGCTCCCTGGCTGGGTGGAGCTAGGACAACACCTGTCTGCTTCTCTCTGGGCTCTACCCTATAGCCTGGGTGCTGTCTGCTTCTCTCTGGGCTCTACCCTACAGCCTGGGAGCTGTCTGCTTCTCTCTGGGCTCTACCCTACAGCCTGGGAGCTGTTCAGAACCAGCCTTTGAGTGGGGAAGCTAAAGGGTCTCCAGAGATCTGCAACCTATCATCTGACCTGAGTTTCTTTCTCTTCTTAGGGAGCTGCAGGTGGGCATCCCAGTGACGGATGAGGCAGGTCAGAGGCTTGGCCACTCAGTGACTGCTGCCAAGCAGGGAATCTTCCAGGTGGTGATATCGAGAATCGGCATGGCGATTCCTGCCATGGGTGAGACGGGGGTGTGTGTGTGTGTGTGTGTGTGTGTGTGGCTGGTGGAGCTCAGGAGGCTAGGAGAGAAGAGGGGTCGAGTCTGTAAGTCTGGGAAGAATGGGAGGCTGGAAGGGTGGTCTTCCCTCAGGTTCTGAGTCCACTTTTGCCCGATTCTCATTGCCCGATTCTCCTCCCCTCAGCCATTCCCCCAGTGATCATGAACACTCTAGAGAAGAAAGACTTCCTGAAGGTAAGGAACTCACCTCTTACCTGTCCTGTCCAGAGATTTCCGACAAACACATCGATGGCTGTCATTGCTGTACTTGATTGTGTATTAATGATGCCACCACTGTGTCTCCCACTAAGAGGCACACATATATTGTCATGAATGCACAAACAAGATAGGGAAGCAAGGCTCAGGAATACAGGCTCCAGCTCATTCATTGAGTCATTTATTAGCATATCAGAATTAATCACTGACTGCACCAGATATGTTAAACAGAACTAAGATGGTCGTAGAGGCATACAGTCTAATACAGAAACCAACAAACAAAGGAACAAGCAATAGATCTGGACCCGGTGGGTGCACACCTTTAATCCCAGCACTCTGGAAGCAGAGGCAGGTGATCTCTGTGAATTTGAGGCCAGCTTGGTCTACATAGCAAGTTCCAGGTCAGCCAGAGTTACCCGGTGAGACCTTGTCTCAAAAAACAAAACAACGAAACAAAAACCCAATAAACATATCATTGTAGTTATGAAATGTGCTTTGTAAGAAATCAGTGGGGCGTTATAATAGAGACTATCTGGAGAAGAGTTTAGACAAGGATGATCCAAAGAATAAGGAGAGTCTGGCAAAGAGTATTTCAGGAAGAGAGAACAGCTAGAGCCAAGGCCCTGGGCAGGGATAGGCTGACACATTTAAAGAACAGAGCAGCGGTCACTGTGGCTGAAGTGGATGGAGAAGGTGTGGAGACATGTGTCTGCCCCTGGGGATGACAGGAAGTGAGTGGAGACTCTGGGGAGGCTTCCTGAAGGAAGTAGCTCCTGGAGAAAGTGAGATGAGAGAAAGTCAGGGTCAGAGATTGCCATGGGAACCAATCCCAAGAGGCAGGAACCTACAGTGGGATAGGCAAAAGTCTGGCGGGGGTAGGAGGTTGCAATATGCAGGTCCCAGCCTGTCACTGGCTGGGAGAAACCTCCAAATGTCCAAAGGCTCAGAGGTAAGGTTGATGGGTTAAAACCATGGTGGAGAACCTAAATGGAGGTTAGGAAAATGGGGACATAAACCATTCTGTTGTCTCTCTATCTCTCCACAGCGCCGCCCCTGGTTGGGGGCTCCCCTGCAGGTGGGACTGGTAGGCTTCTGGTAAGTGTGAAAGGGTTTGATAAGGGCCCATGGGAGAGCCTTTATCATTTTGGGTGCGGAGGGCAGTTATTACCTTTGAGGTTCTTACATATATTGCTCAGTCATACATCCAGTTTGTAAAGGTACCCATAGTGCATAGTGTGTGTGTGTGTGTGTGTGTGTGTGTGTCTGTTGTCCCAGGGGTTCTTGGCTTTGAAGATCAATAGTTTGGGTGAGGGCTTCAGTCTTTATTCATTAGAGGAAACCAGGCACATAAACTCTGGCACAGTTCAGGAGGTCCAGCCCATTTTATTCCTGATTCTGTCACTTTCTAGTCCTGGGGCTTTGGATCAAAGCTCTTGAGGCTCTTTCCTCGCCCAGAATCTAATATCAGGACTGAGTTTAACATCCTGAATGGTCCTTTGGCTCCACTTTCAACCTTTACAGTTGGGATAAAGCTCCACAAATGCCTTCACTCCTGGGGCTGTTTGCATGATGTGGGGTCCAGAGAGGGAATGCTCAGCTTCACAGACATTTTCTGTGCTCTTCTTCCCTAGCCTGGTATTTGCCACACCCCTGTGCTGTGCCCTGTTCCCCCAGAGAAGGTGAGTGATGCCCTTGGGCTGGACCAGAATCTCTGCAAAGGACTCCACATCTCTGGCCCTTAGTGTGTTCCTTGGTGGGCACACTGGTGATGCAGGATCTGAGGGAATGCCAGTGAGCCAGCCCTTCTGAAGGCAGGAAAGGATTCTTCCCCTGGGAGTGAGGGGAAGCCTGGTCCTGAGATGCGGCTTCTGAGATGCTGAGCCCAGGGTACATTCATCCTGCCCGTGCTGTTCTGTTGCAGCTCCATACACGTGACCAGGCTGGAGCCGGAGCTGAGAGCTGAGATCCAAGCGCAAAACCCCAGCATCGATGTGGTTTACTACAACAAGGGACTTTGAGGGGAGCCAGCCTCTGCCTCTTTCCTTACCTCCTTAGGCTGCTTCTTGGGTGCCACCTTACAATGTTACCACTTGTTTATCTTCCGGGTCACGGGACTTGAGGTAGGGAGCAGCCACTGAGACCAGCAACCCCTTAGACTGGAGGAGGCATCCCTATAAGGCCCTTCTCTCCTCTCTGGTTTCAAGTCACAAAACCCTCCTGGGTCGTGTGTGCACCCACCTACATATGCAACACACGGAAGTGTTTATGTATTTGGTCCTGGAAGCCAAGAGCAGATAGGCTGTTCTAGGATGTCTTAATATTTGGCTTCCCTCGCTAGTCTCCTGCCCACCTAGCAGCAAACCAGGTTATAGATGATTCTTCCTTCCCTAAACTGTTTCTCTGGCCAAAACATTTCCATAGCACCTTACCCTTCTGGATGCAGGAGAAACTCCAGGATCCCAGAACACAGACTGAGGGCCACCAGCAAGCCAAACAGAGTCTAATCCTTCAGGTTTGAGTAGCTGACTCCAGGATCTGGGCTGGCAGTGTTGGGATTAGGAAGGCATGGGGCTCATGCCTGTCGTGCCCGGCATCCTTGAATGGCTCCCTTCCTCTCTTCTCTTCTAGAGGAACAAAGGGATGTTGGTAGCCTGCACTGCCCTCCGCACTGCAATGTGGGTGCTTTTAGGGATCATTTTAGGCATTCTTGGTCTGTTCTGATGTCATGACTCAGACAGAAATCCCACAATTCCAGTTCTTTCCCTAATCAGAAAGTCACCCAGGCAGAACAAGCATTCCTCTTCAGGAACGGCTACCACCCAAACCCACCCACTTATAGGGGGACCGGTGTGGAAATGGTGCTTCAAACACAGGCAGGCCTCAAGCGTACAATCTCAAGACAGGAAACTCTGTGTTTCATTGATCCTTCTTAGACATTCACCACAACCCCACTTCGGCTCCTTCTTCTCCAACTGCCAGTCCCTCTGGAAGACCTCGGGGCTTCACATATGCTAGGCAAGTGCTCTACCAGTGAGCTACATCCCGTCCCAGTTCTCTCTCTCTCTCCTTCTTTCCTCCTTTTTCTTTCTTTTCCTTTCTTTCTTTTTGTTTTTTGGGTTTTTTTTTTTGTTTTTTTGAGACAGGGTTTCTCTGTAGCTTTGGAGCCTGTCCTGGAACTAGCTCTTATAGACCAGGCTTGCCTTGAACTCAGAGATCCACCTGCCTCTGCTTCCCTGGTGCTGGGATTAAAGGCATGCACCATCACCACCTGACTCTCTTTCTTTTTCTTCCTCCTCCCCCTTTGTTTTTCCAGACAGGGTTTCTCTGTGTAGCCCTGGCTATTCTGGAGCTCAAACTGTAGACCAGGCTGGCTTCAAACTCAGAAATCTGCTTGCCTCTGCCTCCCAAGTACTGGTGTTAAAAGTGTGTGCCACCACAGCCAGCAACCCATCTCTTTCTTGACACATGGCTCTGCTCTTATTTTGAAGAAGAGGATGGGCCCAGGCCTCAATTGATGGACCAAATGGAAGATGGGTTTAGGAATGGCATGGGTGGTAGTGACTTTAGGGTGTAGAATTAGATCTCCACTCTGAATCCATGACCTCTAGCTGAAAGGGTGAATGGGAGGGGTGAAAAGGACCCAGTGAGGTCCACCGAGACGACTCTCCTGCTCTCGCTAACCGCCTTCTCCAGTGTCAACAGCTGTCATGGCATGGTGTCAATAAACTGCAATCCTGTCTAGTTTTGACCTGTACTTGTTTCACGTCCCAAGTGTCTAGGTGCTACATCCACGGCTGTCTCGCCAGTGTAGCAGAAATGCTGACTGGATGGGCAAATATTGCCGGAAGGATCAGGATCTGCGCTTCTCGGAGTTGAGTCCTGGGCTGTCCCTTGGCAACCAGTTGTGGTGTAATGCTACCTGAGTTGCCATTTGTACTGACTCGACCTGACTGTACTTGGTGCTATATGTCTGTCTTTTCCTTTGTCTGTGTGTTCTTTGTGATCCTTGCATATTGCTAACAGATCAGACTATTCCAGGCAGTTGCGGATACAAACAAGACTGCTGAGGACATTTTTGAGTTTTGCACCCCTATTCATTAAAGCCTTTAAAGAAATAGCCAGTTCTGGAAATAGGGAAGTCATCGTTAAAATAATTCCTTAATGATGTGGAGCAAAAGGAGTTGCTCTTATCAGGAGAAACCTTAGAAGCCTTCTGTAGGAAAACAGCTACAGCAACACTAGATGTTTGCCTGAGAATTATGTGCGGGAGGCCTATGCAGCCTTCATTATGGCCAGAATAAACCTAGGCTAATTACAACATCTGACCCTGAGAGTCGGGGAGGGAAGAAAGTTGAGATTTATGGTATGTAACCAGATTCAGACAAGTTTGAGATCATGTCTAAAATTTCCTAGCAGAAAGTTTTCCCAGGAAGATAGTGGCCTTCTCCTCTCACACCCCAAGATATTCTGAGCACAAGGTCACTTAGCCCTGCCAGCCGCCTGGTACAGACTGGGCGAAAGTCCTTGTGCCCAAGTCAAAACATTTTCAAAGATTCTTTTTGTAAACTATTCTATGCTTTTTTTTATGATCTGATGATGTATGCCTTTGCCAAGTTCTTTGTTTGTAATAATATAAAAACCTCACACTGAATAAGTAAAACACAGCAGCATTTTCAAAATACATTGAGAGTGGCTGTCTGTCAAATTCCTCCGCCGTATCCTGAAATCTTCCGTCCTTCGCCCTGATTCCCTCACGGTCTGAGTGGCTCCCCTGAGCCGGTCTGTAGCATCTAGGGAAGAGTTCAGGAGATTCTCCTACCTTTCTTCAGCTTTATCTTCCCTTCCCCCAAACTCCTCCCTGTACGGAGCCTTATCTCCCAGCAGAGGGCTCTCTGAGCTTACAAAATGGGTCCTCTGGCTGGCACCTATTCTCTCGAAGATGGACGTTTATCTTTACTTTCTTCACTGAGAGGGCTGCTCACATATTTATGAACCCAAGCTCTTGACGTCTTAGTTTCTTTGAGGAATTTGGCATGGGATGGTGACCTCTGGTCTCTAGGAAATCTTCAGAGAAGGGAGAGGAGGCCAACAGCTGCCTGCTTCACCAAAGTGAAGGGAACCAAGCTGTCAGGGAACCAGCACATCTTCTGTCCTTACCAGTTCACCATGGAAACTGACCTGGCAGGAGCCTCTGAAAGTTATTTCTTCCCATTCATGACCCAGTTCTTCAGTCTGCATGTACGTGTATACATGCGTGCATGTGCGTGTGCGTGTGTGTGTCAGAGGACTTGACTTTCAGGAATCATTTCTTTCTTTCTACAATTGGGTCAGGTTGTAAGGCTTGGTAGAAAGTGCCTTTATCCAGCGAGCCATGTCGGTGGCCTCCTTACTTTTATGACACATTTTCCTACCCTGCAGAAGATGAGGAGGAAACTCGTACCTGTATTTGGTGAGGAAGAGCCATTTACTATTGCTTTCTTTCCTGGAGTCTTAGCTTTGTTAGATATAAGGAATAAACACGGATAAACCTATCTTAAAAATCCATACCCCCATTCCCTGCAAAGAAACAGCTCCCCATCCCCATCTCCCCCTTTCAGCTTTTAATAAGTGGTTGGGTGAAATTTTTAGGGCTAGATGACCCCACAGCAAGTGAGCCTGGGTCCCTTGTCCTGGGTAAGCAAGAGTGTTGACAGCAGCTCCTGTGCCCTGAGTCCTGCCATGTGGTGCCAGGCTCAGTGAAGCCAAGTGCCTTTAGTCATTCATCTTTTGATCTCTGAAACCTGTAAGATGGGCATATGATACTTTCCCTACAAAAGACATGAGTTCCCTCTCTCGAAAAACCAGGGGAAAAAAAGGCATGGGTTTAGAGACATTAAGAAAGTTGCAAGTCAGTGGTCATGGGGTCGCATTCCTGTAATCCTCGCATTTGGGAGTTGAGGCAGGAGGATGAGGATGTTTTTCTTTTCTGAGACATTATGTAGCCCTAGATGGTATAGGACCAGGCTGATCTTGAACTCACAGAGATCTGCTTGCCTCTGTCTCCCACATGCTGGGATTTTAAAAACATTCATCACCATACCTGGCTAGGACTGATAATTAAGGTCCTCCTCGACTACATAGCAAGCTTGAGGCCATCCTAGACTACATGAGACCCTGTTTCAAATAACAAAAATAGCAACAAGATGCTAGGCATGGTGGTGCACACCTTTAATCTCAGTACTTAAGAGGCAGTGGCAGTTTGGAGCCAGTCTGGTCTACAGAGCGAATTCCAGTATAGTCAGGGCTACAGAAGCCATGTCTCAAACAAAACTGGAGAAAACTGATAGCAGGACTCCCGCTGAGCTGTGACTCCCAACCATTGTGCTTCCTTTTACCTGACAGCTGCTATACCTGGTTCCCTTGACATTCAGGAGTATCTCCTGGGCCCAGTTTATTTACAGACTAGCAAAATCAACTGTCCACAACTATCCACAAACCTTTAACTAAAGCTGCCAGTGGTCACTCTGTAAGACATTGTCTGGAAGTAAAAAATTAAAAGCCCGGGTATAGTTCGGTGATGGAGTACTTGCCTAACGTGCACAGCCCAGGTTCAGTCTTTGGTATGCTATCAAAAATAAAACAAAAAGTCAGCCACTAATGAGTTTCCAAACTTGAGTTTTATAACTTGCACATAAGTAAATAACTTCATTCTTGATTAAATTTGGAATCCTTGGGGGACCAGTTTCAATTTCATTCCATCCTGCCAATCATGCCCAAAGCCCCAGGACAGTTGTAGCTTCTTTTATCAGCTAAGCTTTGGCTTTTCGGCATTGCCTTCAAAAGAGGCCTTGAACTTTTATTGGTGAATCCATGCAGGGTGAATTGAATTCATTTGGGAGGAGAGAAGCAATCTGTGCAAGATAAAATTTGTAAGAATGTTTTATAGCAGAACTGTCTGTACACTGCAGACAGTGCCTCGTCCAAGATTGACAGGTCATCTAGGGAGGGTGTACTTTCCTGTCTTTTCCTACTAATTTCAGTGTTTCTCAAATGCTGTGGGGTTAGCAACAGGGCCTATCACAAGCTCAATCAGGACAAATGCTAGCTGGGTACATTCTCCCACATGATTGCAGTTTTCTTGAGAGATGAGCATACAAAGGAGGT